TATTTATATGGTTTGGTTTTAATATTTAATAATTATTGTATATATATATATATATATATATATATATATATATATATATTGGGAATCTTGGAAATTTAAATGAGTAGTATTAAATCATTTATTCTGACTAGCCACTACAAAATATAATACAGTTTGATTTATACATAATTTGATTTATTATAGTTGAAGGTGTAAAACTTGGAGATTTAAACGAGTCTGTTAGCCCATTTATCCTAACCTATCACTATGAGAAAATTCATTTAAATTTTTATAAAGATAGTATAAGGTGAAATGAATAAATTTATCTAAAATATTTTTGTATATTGTTTTGATACCGTCCAATTGTTTAAATTAAGTTGATGATAATGTCATATATATTATGATTAATGTCAATAGTTTATCTTTATATTTTGTAGATGTGTTTACCGTTTATAATGATTGTACTACGTATACGATTAGATATAGATACTAACGTAAGAAAAAAGAATTTGAGAGAAGAGAAAGACTTTTTTTATTTTATTTTATTTTTATTTATTGTAAATATTTGTATTGATATTGAGGAAGTTTAGATTTGTATATTGTATGGTTATAAGCATTATAAAAAAAAAAATCCTTTGATAGGGTTAAAATTCCACTTATTAGTTCAAATTTTAAGATAATACACTTGTCCGTTTAAATTTTAGGATATTACAAAAAGCATAAAAATTGTCATTTAAATTAGAACTTACAAATATCAATATTTTTTTCAACAAAACTTACCTAGATACATAGTTTGACAAAAAACTTCATAAGTGTTTGTAAATATAATTTTAGTTTTCCTTTATTTGATTCACTTATTTAACTCACCTTGTGTACTAATTGTCTTTTTAATAATAATATTATATGAGTACAATGCTTACTTTAAATATAAACAATTAATCAAGGATTTGTTGGTTATGTACAAACCCTTCAGCTTCATCTATAATCCAATTGCTATTTTCTTCTTTAAAACTTGTCTTGGCAGTTTTTCATTAAAGCTCGAAACAAATGTTTTCGAAGCTTTATGTGACCACATTTTATTATCTCCATCATGGTTGTATTATTTATGAATTTGTCTTCTAAAACTTTAATAAGGTCTTAATGAATAAGAAGTGTATAAATTTTCAATATCACGATCCAAAATCATTTAAATTGGTGAATTTGTCAACTTCATACTTTGTAGAAGTCATGATGATTGGACTCCATGTTCACCATACCATTTTATTATGAAATCAATACACTTCAATAAAATATATATAAACACAAATACAAGAATATAAAATAAGTCACAAATGATTGATGAAAGGTAGATGAAGACCTAAACAAAAGAAAAAAATTAACACATATATGTAACATAGTTCAATTGAAGTGTCAACGAATTTTAATTTGTTTACAAAAGAATTTATCATCACAAATATTATAACATTGAATTTTTCACTTATAATGAACTCTTGCTAAACTCATTCTTTACACAATGTTTGAGTTGAACAAAAATTCCAAGTTAACTATCAATTATTGTTACAAATTCTTATATATAGTACATAGCTACCATAACTAACTTTGTGAAACACAATATATGTTTGTGTGTAGGTAATAAAGAGCTAAAATTAGAGGAGGAGAGCAAGGAACATCTATCTTCTAGAATCACACTTTGTGTAATTGTTAGGAAGTCTTTACCTTTTTATATTTGTTACGCGGTCCTTCTCACTGCAAAAAAAAACTATTGTTTAGTGGAGGTTTTATTTTCAATTTACGGAGATTTTCACTCTCCTCAAATCGATTTACATATATTTTTCAAACCTCCACAGTTGTAGTCAAAATCGTCGCAATCAATTTGCGAAGGTTTTTCGTATTTAATAAGAACTTCATTCTACTTGTAAAAGAATAATATTTATATTGAATTTCAAATACCTTTATATGTATTTGTGGGTTTCTTTCCTTTTCAGAGTGTGCTTCTCTCTTAGTTGTATCTTTAACATTGGTTCATACCGTCACTTATCTTGGATTGATCAATCCCTCAAACAATATTTCCTATCTTCCTTCTTCCACCTCCCTTTCTCTTCATCTTTTGTTCATTATTTTATGTTATTTATGTCATTTTTCTTTATCTTATGTCTCATTTTATCACATCTACATAATTATGTTATTTTTATGTTTAATAAGAATCTTCTTAAAAAAAATTAATATAACACTTAGTACCCTTAAAAATATAAGATAAAATCACATTAGTGTACAAATATTTTCGGTCATCTTTAATTTATACAATTAGATTAAACATATAATATTTACTTAAACTCAATTCGACATGTGAATTAAATTAAGAGAAAATATCATAATTATTACTATTAGGAGTTACTAAATTGTTATAAATATTCTCTTCCGTTAAGTGAGTTTAAAAAGTCCATTAAAGGTTTTAAAATTTGCTTAGCAAATGAAGAAA